TTGCTGCATAAACCAATTGTTTTATGTGGATCCGCAGACAAAAATCCCAAAGACTGAGGTCGAGAGAACGTGCAGGTCATGGGACTGGTCCTCCCCTACCTATCCATCTTTCATGGTAATTGTCAGCTAGTGCATTTCGAACAGTGTCACTAGAATGTGCTGGAGCTCAATCATGCATGAACAACATGCGTCTTTGTATTAACAGGGATACATCCTCTAGCAGGTATGGAAGTGTGTTCGAAATAAAGTTCCCGTAAACAACTCCTGTAACACGTGCTAGGAGAACACACGGGCCTACTAGACCGTCAACTACAATTTCACCCGACATATTAATCGTAAACTGATGCTGGGGTCTAGCTATCTCATGGGGATTCCGATCCGCCTACAAATGTTGGTTGTGAAAATTTGTTATTCCATCTCTTCCAAATGTTGCCTGATCAGTAAACAAGACAGAAGAGACAAACAACGGACCGACAGTTTGTGCAAAATACCGTGGGCAAAAATTATCCCATGGTGAGTGATCAGAAGGCGAAATAGGCTGCACACGTTGTACACATTTCAATTGATACGGATACAGGAGCTGCTCTCGATTTACGCAGAAAGTGGTACTATGAGATTTACGACATGCTAGGGCAACCTGTAGACTGAGTTCTTTGTGGCCTGGTTTACGAGCGTATCTCGGTCTTCCTCGATCCTTAGTTTGCGGTGCCACGGATACTGTCTCAGTAACGCGACGATAAAGGTTGGATGACTCGGCTGACTTCGGTCTGGAAACACAATCTGATACAGCCGTGCCCATTACCATTCGCGTGGTCATATGTCAAATCCTATCTGCCTGCTCACCGTATGCGTATCCTGCCATTGTTAAGCGAACACTTCTCAGTTAATTCACTACTACACACATTAAACATTGGAGACAGACTTGACACAAATGTACACGAATGAGAAATGTAACCAAGTCTATATGGATTTTTTTGGCAAAGCAATGGTGTTGTTCTCCTCGATGTCTTGCGCCACAAGTAAAACTGCTGAATCCCACACATGGAGGTAATTGATTTTCTGGGTTTCTGTCGATGATACGCAAGTTTGATGAAGGAAATTCACAAAGTCTGTCAATCGATATAGTCGAATTTGTTTTTACACATCTGATCTTAATCACGAATGAACCAATATTCTTTGACAAGACAGTAATCTCTGGCATTCTTTAAACCGTAGGTCATTTCCTGCACTAAAGTCAAGGATTCTTTAGTTGGGTGTTTGGTTGATTTTGTTTAACGGCATATCAACAACTATATGGGTTACTAAATATTTTGAACACAATATTATGATTTCAATTACAGATAAATTGGTATTGTTTCGTAATTCTACTGCAAATAGGTATTGTTGGTATATTTTATATATATATATATATATATATATATATATATATATATATATATATATATATATATATACAGTTCAAGAAAGAAGTTCGGATTACTAACACATAGAAAGAGAATGTCACATATCGTGAATATTTAACATCGAAAAACATAAAAGAGAAAAAATGAATTATTTATAATAATATATGAAAATCTCCACCTTTTACCTGATGATGGTCGCGACACCAGAAACGCGTGTAGGAAAATTATGGAAAATAAAGCATAATATTTTTTTAAAAAATCCAACATTACAACTAAAAAACGTTTGCGGTATCACTCATTTTAATATATATATATATATATATATATATCAATCATGTCATCCCATAAGATCTGTCCGAATTTTGAATAAAGAAAACAAGTGACCAAATGTTACATTTAATTACAGATTCAATCAACAATGTATTTTACCTGATTATCTATGACTTCCTTCCATCTGTTAAAAAGCTTACTAATTCCATTGCTGTAAAATTCTTTTGGCTCTGATTCGAAGAACTCACAAATGTCAGTTTTAACCTCTTCCTGTGTTACAAAAGCTGTTTCTTCCAAATGATTCTGTAAGCTACGAAACAAATGGTAGTCTGAAGGAGCAAGACCGGGAGAATAAGCTGGATGAGGAATTTTCTCCCAACCAATCTTTTGTGACGTGATTCTTGCTGTATGGGGTCGCGCATTGATGAAACATCACCTCTTTTCGATTCACTAAAGCAGGTCTTTTTTTCTTCAAAGCTTAGCTCAAACGATCTAATTGCTGACAGTATATTTGAGCATTAATTGTTGCATTAGGTGGTAAGAATTCAAAGTGGATTATTCCTTGGTGATCTCACAGATTAAAAGAAGAACATTTTGTCCATGAAGTTCCCTTCTCGGCTGTGGCTGGGGTCCTTCCCCTTTACCAAGCCACTGTCTACGACTCTTAACATTTCGATAAAAGATCCATTTTTCGTCGTCAGTCACAAGTCTATCCAAAAGAGGTGAAACAATTTGGTGAGAATGAAGAGAAGAATGATGTCAACTCAGGATTTGAGGTTGTTTTCAGACAATTCATGAGATACCCATTTTCCAAGTTTAGGAACGTT